CATACCTTTAGGAAGAGGCAAATCGTTTGGCGACGACGACACCGTTACAATGTCCCTCTAGCCAATGAAAGTGGATGATAAGAAAAAATTATGACAAATCGGTTTGGTTTTGGTTTTGACGGAGAATATATGAATCGATCCACACAGTTTAACCTAGATTTATTTGAGCTGAGACTATTAAACCCCAAACATATGAATCAGATTCCAAAAAATAGAGAATCCCTACGATGATTAAGATGCAGTCTCTCAATTTTCCCGCGCGTTTTTCTTCGTCTTTCCCGGTTAACAACTTTACGTCGTCGTTTCACAATCATAAAAATTAAACGGTTCCGATGTGATGATACGGATGACAACAGATCCAACGGTCTATATGTGATGTTCACAAAATCACATGGCTGTGACAGAAAGACTGTGACGGCTATGGCCTATTGAGATTTGTTAATTGGGGGAGTTGAGATTTCTCAGCTGTTGTTAGGGATTTGTATGAAATGTTCTAATTGTTTGAATGAATGAATCAAATGTTATAATTTGTGCATTGGAAAATAATATATAACTAGAGTTGAAAAGCTTCTAATGAGCATTATTGTTCTAAAAAGATAGTCAACAGGGAGATAACAAGGATTTGAGTTCAAAAGAAAAGAAAGAAAAAGATACAACAATTCAGAATGAAAGAGTAAATTCTGGTAACTGTGACTTTGCTGGGATTTGGCTACTCTACCGTACCAGACACGTGGACCGGAATAATGTGAAGCTGAACAATTCCTCAAGTCCATGCTTCATGAAGTGTTCTGCCGCTTTTTGGCCTTTAGTTATGTTAATAAGACTCTACATTAGGTTCACCTGTTGGACAATTCCAGTACCAATCTTTTTTTATCTGCTTATTAGTGAAAAATAAAAGAATATCATCAAAGACTTATGGTTTAAAACAGTGCAATGCATAACAATCAATGAACAAGAAACAAACCTTGACACTCAGAATCTGTCCCTGCTTCATCACTTCAGTTAATTCCTTCTTCAGACCCCCATCAGTTGTTCTCCCGTTCATATTCACAGCAAGGACATTTGGTGTCTTAATGCTCACCTGGACTTTAAACTGACTTCCACAAGTTAGGGTTGAGCGGAAGAAGAAAACGAGAGTAGTTTTAGTTTTTTTGGTTGTTCCTTCCAGACCCGGCCCGATATCGAAGCGACCCAAGCCCATGCTTTTTGAGCAAACACGTTTTTAGCAGAGACCTTGGAAATATTGAGTGAAGCTCTCACGTGACAAAAACACGCACAAAATTATTCAAGTTACCACGTTTATTAAGCAAAACGATTGAGCCAAAAAAAACGCATCAGAATCTGGAACCTGGATCAGATCTAGTCAGGGGTCAGATCGGAGAGCCGGCAATATAATGGCAGCGGCGAGACGATTACGGACGCTCCAATCTCAGCCGGAGAACAAGGTCTGTGTCGATTGCTCCCAGAAGAATCCACAATGGGCATCGATTTCATATGGAATCTTCATGTGCTTGGAATGCTCCGGTAAGCACCGTGGTTTAGGTGTTCACATCTCATTCGTCAGATCCGTCACCATGGATTCATGGTCCGAGATCCAGATCAAGAAAATGGACGCTGGAGGCAACGAGCGTCTCAACAATTTTCTCGCTCAGTACGGGATCTCGAAAGAGACTGATATCATCTCCAAGTACAATTCCAACGCCGCGTCTGTGTATCGAGATCGGATCCAAGCTTTAGCTGAGGGAAGACAATGGAGAGATCCGCCGATTGTTAAGGAATCGGTTGGTGGTGGATTGATGAATAAGAAGCCTCCGTTGTCTCAAGGCGGTGGTAGAGATTCTGGTAATGGTGGATGGGATAATTGGGATAACGATGATTCGTTTAGATCTACGGATATGAGGAGGAATCAATCGGCGGGTGATTTTAGGTCATCGGGAGGTCGTGGTGCTCCGGCGAAGTCGAAATCGTCTGAGGATATATATTCACGGTCTCAGCTGGAGGCGTCGGCGGCGAATAAGGAGAGTTTCTTTGCGAAAAGGATGGCTGAGAATGAGTCTAAGCCTGAGGGACTTCCTCCTTCACAAGGTGGTAAGTATGTTGGGTTTGGATCTAGTCCAGGTCCAGCTCCGAGAAGCAATCAACAGAGTGGTGGTGGTGATGTTTTCTCTGTTATGTCTGAGGTAAATTTGGAAGCTTTTTGAGAGTGATTTGGTTAGATGCGACATGCGAGTGACTTCTCTGTTTATCCTGTAAATGAATGTGTTTGTTTTACGCGTATATGCTTATAGGGTTTTGGAAGATTGTCTCTTGTTGCTGCATCAGCTGCAAATGTTGTTCAGACTGGAACCATGGAGTTTACTTCCAAGGTACTTCTTTTATCATTTCTGCTTCGATGTTGTGGTTGATTCGTTTGGATCGTGATCAGTAAGCTCACTCCTTGGTAACATTCTGTAGTCTAGTTGTTAAGTTTATATTGAGATCGTGACTATTCGCTTGGTGTCTGTCTAATTGCCGCTATGCTCATTGCTCTGTTTGTTAGATTATCCCATTTTTGACATTGTTATGTAACACAAAATTAGAGTCTTTTCTAGCTGCATAATCTTCTTACTTTAATTGCAGTGTTAAAGCTCTTTTTTTTTTTTTTTGTCTTTATGCCCCTGCAAAATCTCTAGGGAGATCCTCTAAAACGCTGAACTGAGCATAATGCCGGATGCTCGTCCTTCTTTTCAAATACTGCTAACATTAGAAATTATAGAATTTTGAAGACAAGTGAGATAAGAAACCTTTGTTCATTGTGCAGGTCAAAGAAGGTGGCTTAGATCAGACGGTCAGTGAGACTGTTAATGTTGTTGCGAGTAAGACAACAGAGATAGGACAGAGGACATGGGGGATCATGAAAGGAGTGATGGCAATTGCCTCACAAAAGGTTGAAGAGTTCACTAAAGAAGAAGCATCAACTTGGAATCAACAGAATAAAACTGAGGGCAACGGTTACTACC